CAATTTACAGAGGCACAGTGACATAAATGTTACAGGAGAGATACAGCCAAACCTTTGAGTTTTAATGGCTACATTCATCAGAGAAATGAGAAGGAGAGCGGTCCCCCTCCCCACCAAAAGCCCCTCTTTATTTGTATATACTTAACAGTGCTGAAGGGATGAGAAATGTTGACTTTCAAGCTTGGATGCATACAAATAAGGATTAAGTTTGTATTTTGTTAGGGCTATTTTTTTTTTTTTAAGAAAATTATTTTGCACTGCGTGCGTTTTTCACTTGGGCTTTATCAAAGGATATTACAGCCCTGAAAATCAAAAGCTTAAGAAAAGCCCCTGAGAAACCAAACTCAACATTTCCAGGCTCCCATCGGTTACAAAACCTGTTTGGAGCAACACTTTGCTGCAACTTGCTTGGGCTCGTTTGGACTGACTTTAGCTTTGAGATCCCGCCTGCCGGTGGGTTTCTGCTGCGGTCTAAATTCCACTTGCCTGGACTCCAAAGTTTCAAGACTTTTAATTCCTGCCTTGCCCTCAGTTGCTTTGGTTACATGGAGAGATAAGGGGCCAGATCTTCAGGAGCACCCAGAGCACGTGGGAGACGGGCAAGGATGCTGTATGCCACCTTCCTGGCCTCAGTCCTACGTTAGCTAACCTGGGGCAAGTGACCTCAGAGCATCTATGGCCAGGTCTACACTGTAGCCACAGGCTTCCCCTACTGAGACATTCCCAAGCATGCCCTGCCCACCTGTCCCCTGCGGTTGCTCTCAAGACCTCAGTCTCCAACGTATTTGACTGTGGCAGCTGGGGCAGCCCCCATGCAGCCTTGCTGTTGTATGTCTGGATTTGGAGCATGTTTGTAAGAGTAATGTGCTGGGGAGCAGAGCTGCTGCCATGGCGCAAATGTGCCCTTAGAGCAGCCTCTACATTGCAGGTGTGTCCAAAAAGCTGTTTGAGTGGCATGGACCCCTCTCTGACCCATGCCCTGCACTGGGGACTGGAATAGGGATGATGGGATCCTGGCTGCTTGCTGTCGAAGGATTCCCATCACCTTACTGCGCTGGTTCTCAACCTGTTTGCCATAGTGGGCTGCACTTGCAGCTCTCAGTGTGTTATGTGGACCTCACCCACACAACTTACTTCCTGTGTATCCATTGCTATGAAACTATGAAATCTAAAAAATGTTTTAACAGGCTGTCACAGTGTGCTGATTGGGGTGCAAGCAACCCGTGAGTCTTGGGCTGAGGACCACTGCCCTAGTGGCACCCCCAGGGAGTGGGGGTGCTTGACTTCACCTTCACCTTCCCTGACTCCTTTGCACCGTGTGGCCAAGGCAGGGTTGTTTATCTGGGGACAGGCATGGCCCAGGACCTTTTCAGCATGTTGGAGCAAATAATGACGTTTGCTACTATGAATTTGTAAGCAACAGCATGGCAGTGACTCATCGGGGAGTTGGATGGCTCCGTCTCTTAGGCTCAGCTACCTGGCACTAGCTGCTTGGTAAAATCCTATCTTGTACTCTCTCTTCTCTTTCGATCTGAGGTTCTCTCTGCTTCCCACCCCCCTTCATAGCAACCCACTTGTTTACAGCATCTTAAAGCCAACGGATCTGCATACAAGATAAGCCATTTTCTGATCTGGGCAGGCACACATGACATTCTAACAAGCATTAATCAAAGACAACGCAATAAGATTTTGTACCCTAATTAAACGTAGCATTACACTAATAGACACTTTCCAGTGTCTTTACTTGCTTCAGAGCTGAGTCATCAGTTGATTCATTGGTTACTGTTGCTTCTTGCTGCTTCTCCCTGATTTGGGGCCAGATCATCTCCTGAGTATGGGAGCTGCTTTTCTGAATACCTCCTCAGCAGGGGTCCTACACGGAGGATGGGGAGCCCGAGTCATTTAGGAGAAAGACAGTTCTTATGGGCTATGTCAACCTCTCCACAATAAAACAGAGGAGATGATGAGAAGCCTGTTCCCCAGCCAGACTTACTGTGCAAAGGTTAAAGTGCAAACCCTCCGTGGACTGTCTTGTGGTGCAGTACTTACAGGGAAGGAAGGGACACAGCAGGAGGGGAAGGCCCCCTGTTCAGTCTATGGACATTACAGCAGCATTCGGGCTGCTCCAAGCTGGCACCAGGGAGCAACTGAATTAGCAGCAGAAGCTGGTGCATGCAAGGAGGGAAATTTAAGCCACATGGACCAGCCCCCATGACCTGTAACACGCATGGGCTGGTTGCACCCGAGGACCTGGTCTGGAGTCACGGAGTGAGCTGTTATCCGCTTCTGGGAGCTCACGCACAAAAGCTGGTGTTGTGTGCTGGTGTTTTAAGGAATCACAACCCCCCACCACGTGATTCTCCTTTCCAGGCCAAGCCCTGTGCTTTCAAATCATGCTGCTGGCTGTCGCAGGTGAAATCCAGGTCACAAATCACAGGCCTTGCCACAATCAGCCTCTTGCTGCTAATGGATGCGGTGGCTGTGTACTTCCTCAATTCTTCACACCTTCAGCAGTGCAGTGGATTTGCATTTTGCTTATTGATACAGCTCCAGAAGAGACAAAATTGCTAGCTCACCAATCCTCCTCCTCTGTAGGGCAGCCTTTAATGCTGCTGTGGCATCTTGGAGTAAACATGGAGCCCTAAACATTTGCTGGCTTAGTACAGGTTGGGAAGAGTAAAGAAAGAGCCACATAGCAAAGGGTGTCCCTGGAAGCAGGGTGATATAGCTAGGAGCTGTGCTGGGGCTGAATTAGGCCGCACTGCCACCAGAAAAGCAACACCATCCCACATATGCCCTATATACCATAAAATAATAGAGAACCGTAGAAACATAGAGGAGTAGGGGTGGAAGGGACCTCCAGAGGTCATCTAATCCAACCCCCTGCCTAAGGAGGATCCTCCCTATCCAAACCACTCTGTTCAAATTCAGAATCTAAACTCTTTGGAAAACTACCATTAACCCAGACACAACACAAGACCTAATACCCTAACCTGCCACAGGTAAAGCAGGGGAACCATGGCAGTGAACGTCCTACTTCTATAAAAGGTCGTTAATATATGCTCGCGAGATCCCAGGTAGAGGGCCATGTCCCCCGCTTCAGAGGAAAGCAAAACTCCCCACAGTATAGCGACCGAGTGTCTGCAGGCACAAACCGCGATGCCGATGATACTACGCGGTGGGGTTGGAAATGACCCGCGCACCGCTGAGACTGTGCAACAATGGTAGTTACTGCTCAGTTATTTAGTACTTGAGTTATTTAGTAAATGCTAAAGCAAGTACTTAATGACTGCGCAGTAACAACTGTACCAATTCTGTACCAATCTGACCATGGGGCAAAATCCCTTCCTGACCCCAAATATGGTGATTGGTCTGACCCTGAGCAGAGCAGCAATATCCTCTAGCCAGGAACCTAGACCCCAGTCAAAGTTCCCAGCCGTGGCTGCGGCTAACACCCATGCCTCCGATGAAGGCTTAAAAACACCTTCACACGTGGCGGAAAGAGAGGGAGGGAGCAACCGGCAAAGCCCAGAAGCCTGAGAAATACCCATAGTAGAACATAGGCATAGCTACACCTAGCCCACCCCGACCAGTGGCTGTCCAACCTCTTCTTGTCCATCTCCAGTGATGGAGAGTCCACGACATCCCTTGGTGTCTATTCCACTGCCTCGCTGTTCTCACAGTGAAGAAGATTTACCCATAGGTGTCATGCTTAGAAAGGACAGGGCTTATGGCTGGCCTTTGGGTGCAGTTACAAGGTGTGAGAAGCTGCCCTGTTTCACAAAAACTGGCTCATAAGCCAAATCTAGATCCTCATGTAGATTCACCAGGATGTTTTTCTCTTCCACAGTGGAATTTTGGTCAGAACCAACATGCCCGATAGGTTTATGAAAGGGTTCAAACAAAAAAATAATCAGACCAAGACAATTAGAAATAATTGAAGCAATGAGAGAGCCCCCCACAGCCCATTGGTTTTAGTGGTTATAAGTAACTTTGAGGAACCAAGGTCACAAGTAGGTCCTTACAGAGTCACATGCTGCTGTCAGCTGAACCTCTATAAAACAGCTGAGTCTTCACTGATTTCAGTGGGCGCCTGTGCACCATGTTGGCTTTTTCTACCTAAAGATAATCTCTGGGTTTATTTCACTCTCACAAAGTGCCACGATGATTCCAATTACTATTGTGCACGTAATGCTTTTAACACTCATAATTGGTTAATGTGTGCTATTCCTAGTAAAAAAATGCTAGAGGGCACCTGATTGACAAATCGTATCAGAACAGGGAAAAATGGCGATTTTGGCTGTGTGCACCAGTGGTTAGGGTGGTATGATTTCTGCACCAACGGCGAGGCATGGGGCTGCAGCACAGCTGGATGCAATGCCTGGCAGCAGTGAGGGTGGTGGTGGTGTGGGGTTATACACCTCGCAAGCGGTGGTGGTGTAGAGCAGAGGTTCCCAACTCTCGGGCCGTGGCCCCAAAGGGTTGGCTGCCGGATCAGAAGTCCAGAAGAGACTGACATACTGTGGACTGTCATGTTGCGGACCATCAGCCAACCGTTTTTTATATTGAATCTTTTATACTGAGTATACAAAGGGTTGGCTGCCAGTCCGCAGTATGCCGGTCACTTCCTGACTGCAGTATGCTGGTCCACAGTTCGCTGGTCCGCGGTCACTTCCAGTCCGCAGTTTGCTGGTCCGTGATCTATAAAGGTTGGGAACCGCCGGCATAGAGTTGTGCCCCCCCGCCCTACTGTCAGCA